TGCTGATCCCAAACCACAATTCCACTTTATTTTACCCCAAAGAAAGAGGAGGGAAAAGAGAGAAGACAGAAAAGCAGGAAAAATGCGAGAGCGAGTCTAAATCCACAGGGAAGGATTTACCCACACCACGCGGTCCCGCAGGCTCAGGAGATCCCAGCCGGTCTTTTCCCTCGTCCTGGAGCACCCCAGGAGCCGCAATTCCCCCAGCAAAGCCCTCCCCTCCCCCTTGGGTACCTCTTAAATACCTCCCCCAGCGCAGCCCCCGAAAACCCCCTGCTTAATTCCCGTTTCCCAGGCCAAATTTGCGTGGAAAGCGCTATTTGGGAGGTAATTCCTCGCCTTGGACTCGATTGTAACAACTTTTGACAGAAGCACCATCTCGGAGCGCTCCTAGATCCCCCCCGGGGCTTTGCCTCATCCCTCCCGGAGCTTTTGCGGGCGCCTCAAATAATTTCGAGTAAGGCAGCTCAGCTTCTGCAGCTCAGCACCTAAAGCTGCTCGGCTTGAGCTCAACTTTTTTGGGGGTTAAGCGGCTCATCTTTAGTTCAGCTTTTTGGGGGGGTTCAGCAGCTCGGCTTTAGCTCAGGTTTTGCAGCCCCGCGCCTAAAGCAGCTCGGCTTGAGCTCAGTTTTGCAGCTCGGCCCAGCTAAACTCAGTTCGTGAGGACATTTGGGGACACCTGGTGACGTTTGGGGACCAGCCAGGGCACACTGGAGACCCTGGGGCACATTGGGACCTCCCAGGGCCAGCTGGGGGCCACCTGGGAGACATTTGGGGACACCTCGGAGAGGGCACCTCTGGGACATCTGGGGGACTTCTGGGGACCCACTGGGGCACTCAGGGACCCTCTTGGGGCCACCTGGGGACATTTGGGGACCCCCTAGCAACATTGGGGACCCCTCAGAGACATTTGGGGAAAACCTGGACACACCTTGGGGACACTTGGAGCTATTTGGTGACCCCACAGGGACATTTGGGGACACCTGCAGGACACTGCGGGAAATTTGAGGACCCCCAGGGGGACATTGAGACCCCCCGGGGACACCTCGGGGACATTTGGCGACATCTGGGGATACAGGGTGTCACTCTCCTGTCCCTTTTCCTTCTCTTCGTCCTGAGACTGTTGTTTACTTAAATTCGGGTTTATTTTGATTTTAACTTTTCAGACCCAGAGGTATCTGAGGCTATATTGGAGTTACTTTTATGAAACTTCAGTAACATTTGGAAGGAAAGGTTTCCTCAGCAAACCATCAATATTCTCCTTCTAATAACGGTGTGGGGGGGGGGGAAGAGGAGAGATGCTACAGGAATTTATGAAAGAATAAAAAGTTGCTCAGGAATTTACTGAGTACAAGTTGACTTTTCACCTAGGATAACAACATTGATCAAGACAGCTTCATATGTAATGATAGCACAGATTAACATGCAGACATAAAGGAGTTAGGTTTAATCATTTAGTAGAAGATTGCTGTGTACTATGAAAGGGAGAATTTTGAGAGGAAAATGTATTAATTGGGCTTAATAAGCATATTTAATTTACAGTGAGTTTTAGAACAGATATTTCCAGCCCTGCAGTACTGATTTTATAGGCTGTTTGGAAGGTCTTTTGAGAAGAGTGCCTGAAACAGTTAAATGCTTCTTTTCTTAGAAAGCTTCAAACTTCCACGTACAGAAAACACAATAATTTACAATATCTTTATGCCTGCCTGCATATCTATTGCCTAATTAATATCCATGAAATTTCTGAATGAAGTGAACATTAGTTATCTTTTTTAAAAAATTATTATTACAGTAATTAAAATCCCAAACGAAGATTTACACTTCACTTTTACAGGATGAAAGCTTAATAAGACTTGAATCCCTCAAAAACCCCCCCACATATCTGTAAAGCTCTGAACTGCCCTTACATTTTTTGTGAATTTCTTCATTAAATTAGTAACTTGTGTAAATAATGTAGACAGATATACAAAACTTCGATCAGTTGTCTAAGAGTTATGAAAATACTACTAAAGAGTAAAATCACAGAAAAAAACAGAAAAATCCTTCATTGTTTGTATTTTAAACAATAATATCACTTTGTGTTTTGTGTTCCTGGTTGTTTGCTATGTCAGAACAACATTTTAAACAGAACCCTCTATCCCATATTACATTCTAGAGTTGCTTCATGTGTTCTACCCTTTACTAACTAACACTGCATTAAGCCAGGAAAACAGAGTCCCACCTTTGCTCTGCAAACAGCAGAATAAAGACGTGAAAAGAAAATATCTTTTGAAATTCAGGCTCAGACCCTACACAGTGATACAAGAAAGGATTGCAACTTGTGTTATTGCTTCCTTTTCCAATAGAAAAGTTTTTAAAAAATCAAGCAGGATATTTGCAGTTCTTTTGTCTCTCTACAATAAATTTTATGTTTCTGAGACAAGAATAGACATGCTGGCTTTTTTGTGTTTTACATTTGTGCTAGAAGTGCCAGTGAAATCAATATCTCCTATTAGAGAGAAAAATAATCTGAAGATTTGAGTCTGTCATAATAGATGGAAAAAAGGATCTTTTGCTCTGTGTTCAAATAATAAATGCAGCATGCAAAAATAATGCCCAAGAACAGCCCCAATAATTCTTACATTTAAATTAAGTCTTGTAGTGACAGAGTAGACTTCTGAAAAGCAATATTTCTTAGGTTGGACAGAAAAAAAAAAATTAAGATTTATAAATATCCGAGTTCTTATTGATATGACAAGAAGTTTTTTGTGCTGAATAATAAGAGCAATATTGATAAGAAAAAGGTCAATGAATATACTGAACTGCAGTTGCCATGGGAACCAGTAATTCCTTTTACCTCTGATTAGATACTGAGATAAGTCAGGTGCATGTTTGTATCTATATGCTGGTGAGAGGACGGTTATTTAACTTGAAGAAATAAATTCATGAGAGACAGACAAGGAAATGTGCTATTTCATATTTCATTTTCATCCAGAGTTGTCCACCCTCGGAACGGGGTCAGCAATTTAGCTGTTACAGTTCAATAGTTTTGGTTTAGGAAAGTCAACAGCTGTTTTTCTCCAAGGTCAGATGACTCAGCAGAGTAAACTTTCTTCGCAAGTAAACTAACTTTAAAAAATGAACTCTGTTTAAAAACTGAATGTACAGGTGCTGACTGAGGATAATGTATGCACACCTGGCCTCAAATGCCTTCAGATCCGTAGCTATTGTATGTCACCACAGGTACTCTGAATTTGTTTTAGATCTTGGAATACATATTTTATTGGTAATATGACTTCTCAATGAAAAGTTAGAAACATACTTTTATCAGTCTACTCCTTTGGCATACAGTCTCAAAAGCACTATAGAAGTTCTGATAACTCTTTATCTGATTATCTCTATTAAACGAGAGAAAAAGGTACTTTCAGAGTGATGTCACTTGCTAGGAGAGAACTTTAACTTTTTCATCAAATGTAATGTATTCAAAGTCAGGATCATGGTGCCTTTGTGTGCATTAAAAATCATCAATAAATTCTCCTGCTCCTATCAGTACACCAGTGACAGATGATTTGATATCGGGTCAATTTTATCATCTAGGTTTTGGTTTTTATCTTATTATTTCAAGGATAGTTTCATTACTTGTAACATCACTCTAATACCCCTATTTGCAGGTGATGGAGAATTTCTATTACAGTTGTAACTTATGATATCATTTTCTTTTCTTCAAATTTTGGCACAGGAAAATTGCAGTAATTCATTTAAATCTATAAAAAATGGCATTTGTAATAATGAAATCAGAATTTGAAATGAAAAGCAAGGCACAAAGACCTACAGGACTGTTACTGGTCTAAATGTTGCTTTCAGTACACTGCTGTCTACATATGAAAAGGAAAATGCAGTTGTGCAGAAGATGGCATGTGAGGAAATAGGCAAGCTGGAGAGTACTGAATCCCAGAATTATCTGAAAATTCCATATTTTTTTTCCTGCCACTGAAACATTCCCTTTCCCTCTCTACCTAGGTAATATTCCTTTATGAGAGCACGCAGGAGGACCTCAGCAGTGGACAATGTGAACCACCTTTTTCTTGCTGGTTGCTTCCCAGATTTCTTCCAGTGTGACAGAGTTCACTGTGGAAAGCATTATGTTTTGCATGACCAGTCTGGGATACACCACAATGGTATCAGTCTATGAAGAGCCTAAAATAGTTTATTTCAAAGCCTCAGAGTGATCGACTTTCCATTTTGCACATCTAGTCAGCCTGGATACACGTGTGTGATCACAGCTATTCTGTGAAGGAAAATTCATTTCTTGTTCTAGTAAAATGAAAGTTGATGCACCGAAGGAAGGGAACACGTAAAAAATTGTTTTCTGATATGTTAACAATTAGATCATCTTCATTTCATAAATTCATTAATTTTAGTTAGCATTGTATCAACACAGAACTATTTCCATCAATTACAAAAAAAGGAGAATAGTTTTATCTGATCTAGTTCAGATTTAAATGTTAAAGTTGAGTGAGTGAATGATTGACTTTCAAAAAATACAATTGGTTTCAAGAAATCTTGTTTATTTTAATTTATTTCAAGAATCACTGAGTGCATTTTCACTTAATAAAACTGACAGAAAAGAAAAAATAACTTTTTCAAGCAGACTGCTTCCATCCTGCCTCAGTTGGCTTTACATCTTTTCTGTATCTGTTTGACCTCAGTTGTTTTTCATGTGTTGCATATTAAACTTAGCATTTATAAAAAAAGAATTTTTATTTAGTAAAGTAATTATACAAAGATAGTTTTGTTTTCCTCAGTACATGTGGAAATTGCAAATACTGGAATTAAGTGATAAAACTTTACTATATAACATTAAAGTACACATACTTAGAAAATTACTACTCCTATTTCCATTCAGATGATTTTTTTTCCCTGCAATATGAGTGGGAAAACAAGGAGAGTTTTTGATAGAGGAGCATCAGGAGACCTCTTCATCCAAGGTGGTAACAGAAGTCTACTTTAAGCTTAAGTGGTTTTTTTGGAAGTAGGATATATAAATCTTGGTGTCTTGTACAAGGCAAAAGAAGTCAGACTAGGACTCCATAAATTGGGGTCCTCAACAGAGTGAAGAGGTTAATCGTTATTAGAACTATGACATTATTAATAATCTTAGTAATCATTCAAGATTATTCAGGCCTGCATGAAAGAGGCCTTTCAACAGCTGAATGAGATCC